AAGTAGAGAAAGAGAGATAAAGAAAGAGAGAGAGAGAGAGAGAGAGAGAGAGAGAGGGTGTGGTTAGCAAATACACGAGGGCAGGGCATCCTGAGTAATCTGCTGGCACAGATTCGCCGGGCAGACAGGGAGGGATGGAATGCATTAGGCCAACAATGGGCCTATTAGCGAAACCTTGAGTCAGGGCGGATTTACGGGAGACAGACTCTCGAACGCCGCTCTAAGAACTCGAATCAAAACCAAGATCGGCGTCTGTGCGGAGATTACGAGCTTAAAAACCGACGAGAGAAACGATTGTGTCAAAATCACAAATGGTGCATCGTTTTTACACGGCGAATTCCATTGATCTGGCAAAGATTTTAAAACTTACTTGTTTTCAGATTTATTTTCTACTTAAAGGTTGTATGGAGGATTTTTTTTTTGTTTCAAACTGTCAGTGAAAGATTAAAATACCATTACAGAGCTGCAGCAGCTTTGTAATTATGATGACCAAAAAAAAAAGAACGAAAATCTATCAACTGTGGACGTAGTGAAGCCAGATAAACATCAGCCAATAGAAAACGAGGCTCCCTCATTTTCTATTGGCTGTTAGGTTGTCAATCAAACTCCCTAGTGTAACTGACTCGTCGGAGCGCGGGGATTACGTGGTTTACGCAGCGGTTCTTAGAGGCTTTTTCGAACTGTCGCTTCCTCGCATTTCGCACAAAGTTTGTCGCGACGGCGGACGAGAATCCACGACCGGTTCGCCGCGAAAGAAAGTCCGTTTTTGAGGTCGCTGAAAGAAGAAGAGAAAGGGAAAAGGAGCAAAGCCAAACTGAGGTGATTCTTGGAGATCTCGTCCAGCGATGGCGCGACCGAAGCAGACGGAGGGTCTAAAAACTGACGCGTCGGTCGCTGAATTACTTCTAGACAGGAAACTTCAACAGTAATTCTGAACGCGCACAAGGACTGTCGCTGTATTTCTCTTCCCTTAAAAAAATCCTCTATACAACCTTTAATAGTTCTGAAACGGCGTTATTCTAGTCAAGAGGTGGTTTATTTTAAGATAACTTGCTGCATGGACAGATAATTTCATAATTTTTAAGTCATTTTTTTGATAGATTTAAGTGTTTATATCTTAAATTTTGGCCAAGATTTTTTACAGGTGTATACTGATCATAAACGAAAAATTTTGTGCCTTTTTTATCACTATTATTGGTTTGTACGACTATAAACAAAAACAAAAAAATCCTTACATTTTTTCATTCTCATTTATGGTTTTATGGTGGTTTATTTTGTACGATCATAAACGATAAACTTTTGTGCCTTCGTTAACATTATTAGTGCTGCAAAATGACCAGATATTACACTCCTCCTCCTACTACTACTACTACTACTACTACTACTACTACTACTACTACTACTCCTACTACTCCTACTCTACTACTCTACTCCTACTACTACTACTCCTCCTACTACTACTACTACTACTACTACTCCTACTACTACTACTACTACTACTCCTCCTCCTACTACTCTACTCCTCCTACTACTACTACTACTACTACTACTACTCCTACTACTCCTCCTCCTACTACTACTACTCTACTACTACTACTCCTACTACTACTACTCCTACTACTACTACTCCTACTACTACTACTCCTCCTACTACTCCCTCCTACTACTCCTCCTCCTACTACTACCTCCTCCTACTACTACTCCTCCTCCTACTACTACTACTACTACTACTACTCTCCTACTCCTACTACTACTCCTCCTCCTACTACCTCTACTACTACTACTCCGAGTACTCCTACTATTCTTACTCCTCCTACTCCTCCTCCTCCTCCTACCCCTACTCCTACTACTACTCCTACTACTACTACTATTCCTACTCCTCCTACTCCTACTACTCTACTCCTCCTCTTCCTCCTCCTACCCCTACTCCTACTACTACTCCTACTCCTACTCCTACTACTACTCCTCCTCCTACTACTATTCCTACTCCTCCTACTCCTACTCCTACTACTCCTACTCCTCCTCCTACACCTACTATTACTCCTCCTCCTCCTCCTCCTATTTCTCCTACTACTACCCCTACTACTCCTCCTCCTACTCCTACTACTACTACTCCTACTACTATTCCTCCTACCACTCCTACTTCTTCTACTCCTGCTACTCCTCCTACTACTACTCCTGTACTACTCCTACTCCTCCTACTACTCCTCCTCCTACACCTACTATTACTCCTCATCCTCCTACTCCTACTACTCCTAATACCACTACCACTACTATTACCACTACAAAAAAGTTACACCTTTACAGTCATTATTGCATATCAGAATTTTGTAAAACGTAACATCCGTATGAGGCAGTCGGTCTAAACAAACAAACAAAGAAGCCCTAGAAACCCAGGTAGTACGTACTGTTAAAGGGATTGTTGTTGGTCTGAAGGCGGCAGGTGATGGCCTCGTTCACATCCTTTTTCTTCACACACTGGATGCCCAGATTCTGAAAACTGAAACACATTTACGGTCACACGCCGGCCACAGTTTACGGTACGCGGAGTATTTTTAGCACGGAAAGGTCAACGAAATCAGAACAGTGCTTCAGACCTCGACAAACATGATCTGAAATACACCAAGAGTCTAGAATCGGTTCAGTTAGTACAGGGTAACTAGATTTTTTAAATAAAAAACTGGGACATCACCGTTTTTTTGGTGGTTGTTAATAATAAAATAGTGAAACGAGAGCGTAAGTAGTGAAAATTGTTACTTAGAGACCATTTGTGACTAAAACTTGAGTCAGTATAGTCACGTTTTCTTTGTGTTTTAGTCGTTTTTAAGCCGATTTTTTGTATTTTACCTAAACAAATTACAATTTATGTCTTTCTTTACTGTTAGCAGGGATCAAATTGGTAAAAAATAGTGACACCTGGGACGTTTCTTGTATAAAACTGAGACTGGGCTGACCACATAAGCAAAATTAAAAACTGGGACACACCCGAGCTGGAATGGTTGATAATAAAATAGTGAAAAAAGCTCTTAACATTGTCCTTTCTCTGCTCACATGTGTGTCAGTATTTAATTTAAGTATTTAATTAATAAACTGTTGCTTTTTTGCCTTATGCTCTATGCTTTTCTAACATGTTTTCTCTATTTTGGCAAAAAAGAAGGACAATATATTGGCCCCTTTACAATTAGTGGTAAAGAAATTGGTAAAAAAATAGAAACACCTGGGACAGTTCTTGTATAAAACTGAGACAAATCACTGGTTTTGTATGAATCTGCTGGGACAGGAGACACAGGGCTCAAAACTGGGACTGTCCCGGTTAAATAAGAACATCTGGTCACTCTAGACTAGTATCTGTTTAGATTTTCTTTGTGTTTTGGTCGTTTTTAAGCAGAGTGTTTGTATTTTACCTAAACAAATGACAGTTTATGCGTCTCTTTACTGTTGGCAGGGATCAAACTTGTCAAAAATAACGACAACTGAGACATTTCTTTGTATAAAACTGGGACAAATCACTGGTTTTGTATGAATCTGCTGGGACAGGGGACACAGGTTCAAAACTGGGACTGTCCCGGGTAAATAAGACGTCTGGTCACACTAGACTAGTATCTGTTTAGATTTTCTTTGTGTTTTGGTCGTTTTTAAGTAGATTTTTTGTATTTTACTGAAACAAATGACAATTTTTATACGTCTCTTTACTGTTGGCAGGGATCAAATTGGTCAAAAATAGTGACACTTGGGACAATTTTTGTATAAAACTAAGACAAATCACTTGTTTTGGATAAATCTGCTGGGACAAGGGACACAGGGCTCAAAACTGGGATTGTTCCGGGGAAATAGGGACGTTTGGTCACTCTAGACTAGTATCCGTTTAGATTTTCTTTGTGTTTTGGTCGTTTTTAAGTAGATTTTTTGTATTTTACTGAAACAAATGACAATTTTTATACGTCTCTTTACTGTTGGCAGGGATCAAACTTGTCAAAAATATCGACACTTGGGACATTTCTTGTATAAAACTGGGACAAATCACTGGTTTTGTATGAATCTGCTGGGACAGGGGACACAGAAGTCAAAACTGGGACTGTCCCGGGTAAATAAGGACGTCTGGTCACCCTAAGCTAGTATCTGTTTCTCTGACTTTCTATGTAAACATTTTTGGATTTTAAGTTACCAATTGTTCTTTCTGCAGAGAGTGCACTGAAACTCCAGACCACATATTCTTTATTTGTATGTATAGTAATGCATTTTGGGAGGATTTACATCACTGGTTATCAAAACATATGCCAGGTCCAAATATTAAATAAGAAAATTAACTCCATAAAAATTTTAGGGACATAAAAATATGATCATAAAAAAAGATAGTTTAAGAGTCGACCAAACTTTAGTGTTTCTCATAAAGAACTATGTCTGTTATTTTCTTCTCTGAAACATATTTAAAAAAAAAAATCTGTTGTGAAACTTAGTAGAAAGACTGAAATTGATAGAAAACTCCTAACTAGCTCTATTTTTTTTGGTTACAATTTTATTCCATCTTTCCCTGTGTATTTATGTTGCTACTCGTGCCATTTGTATGTCTTTTGTTTTGCTTGTGTGAAAATTATTGTAAAAAGAAATTAATTATCTCATTTAAAAAAAATAAATAAATAAATAGCATCTGTTTATCTATTAATTCTAATATTTTTTTCTTCTTAGGTCCTGGATGTGTTTAAAATGTGCCGTGTAAACAGAAAGGTGATTTAAAATTTACAACTACAGACGTTTCTCTCGAAAAAAAAATCAAAATTGTGGTGTTAAAAAGCATTGTGTTATTTGGATTTAAAACATTTATAGCTATAAATTGCTATTCTTTCAGAAAGTAAAAGTAGCTGTAGTGTCCAGACGTCTCTATTTACCCGGGACAGTCCCAGTTTTGAGTCCTGTGTCCCCCGTCCCAGCAGATTTATCCAAAACCACTGATTTGTCCCAGTTTTTTACAAGAAATGTCCCTGGTGTCCCTATTTTTGACCAATTTGATCCCTGCCAACAGTAAAAAGACACATAAATTATCACTTGTTTAGGTAAAATACAGAAAAGCTGCTTGAAAATCACCAAAACACAAAGAAAACACGACTATACTGCCTCATGTTAGTGCCGAATGCATAACAATTTTCCTTAAAGGTTGTATGGAGGATTTTTTTTTTGTTTCAAATTGTCAGTGAAAGATTAAAATACCATTACAGAGACGCAGCAGCTTTGTAATTATGATGACCAAAAAAAAAAAAGAACAAAAATCTATCAACTGTGGACGTAGTGAGGCCAGATAAACATCAGCCAATAGAAAACGAGGCTCCCTCATTTTCTATTGGCTGTTAGGTTGTCAATCAAACTCCCTAGTGTAACTGACTCGTTGGAGCGCGGGGATTACGTGGTTTACGCAGCGGTTTTTAGAGGCTTTTTCGAACTGTCGCTTCCTCGCATTTCGCACAAAGTTTGTCGCGACGGCGGACGAGAATCCACGACCAGCTCGCCGCAAAAGAAAGTCTGTTTTTGAGGTCGCTGAAAGAAGAAGAGAAGGGGAAAAGGAGCAAAGCCAAACTGAGGTGATTCTTGGAGATCTCGTCCAGCGATGGCGCGACCGAAGCAGACGAAGCGTCTAAAAACTGACGCATCGGTCGCTGAATTACTTCTAGACAGGAAACTTCAACAGTAATTCTGAATGCGCACAAGGACTGTCGCTGTATTTCTCTTCCCTTAAAAAAATCCTCTATACAACCTTTAACTTGGCACTTGTTTCACAATTTTATTATTACCACCCCAACCCGGGATGTCCCAGTTTCTTTATTTTGAAAATCTGGTCACCCTAAACTCCAAGAAAGACACACCTAGGACAGTCCTAGAGTGACCAGACGTTCTTATTGACCCGGGACAGTCCCAGTTTCGAGCCCTGCGTCCCCTGTCCCAGCAGATTCAAACGAAACCAGTGATTTGTCCCATTTTTGTACAAGAAATGTCCCTGGTGTCCCCATTTTTGACCAATTTGCTCCTTGCCAACAGTAAAAAGACGCATTAATTATCACTTGTTTAGGTAAAATACAGAAAAGCTGCTTGAAAATCACCAAAACGCAAAGAAAATATGACTATACTGACTCAACACATGTCTCATCTCAGAAGTCGTGTCTTGTCCCATCCCTTCTTTTGACCTATTTGCGCTCATGATAAAATGCTGTGTGACTACATTTTAGAACAAGGCTGATGCTCCTTTTCTGTGACACAGCACATTTTTACAGCTACTTCCTCAGCATTTTTCACGCAGCCTACGTTAAGACAGTAACATGTGTCTTTCCTCAGTACAGACAGAGAGCCTGTAATAATAAGATGTAATTTATCCTCCACAAATTCGGAAGTAAACCGTTAGCCAGTGTTGGGAAGGTGACTTTTAAAACGTATTCCCCTACAGATTACAGATTACACACACCAAAATGTAGTTTGTAACGGAATCCATTAAATTACATAAGGTGAGTAATGTAATCTGAATACTTTGGATTACTTGATTTGCTGTAGAGAAGCAAAGACGAGGAAATCTTCACATAAGAAGTTTTGTCTGATAAAAGAAAATAAAAAAGCCCAGACTTTACTTAAACAAATTAAAAATATTATTGATAAAAGAGGAGGAAACATGGTCCACGCAGCATGGTGTAGTCCTGGTTTAGTCCTGTTAAATCCTGCTTTAGACCTGGTTTAGACCTGGTTTAGACCTGGTTTTAGTCCTGCTTTAGTCCTGCTTTAGTCCTGCTTTAGTCCTGCTTTAGTTCTGCTTTAGTCCTGCTTTAGTCCTGCTTTAGTCCTGCCTTAGTTTTGGTTTAGACCTGGTTTTAGTCCTACTTTAGTCATGGTTTAGACCTAGTTTAGATCTGGTTTGGACCTGGTTTAGACCTGGTTTGGACCTGGATTAATCCTGGTTTAGACTTGGTTTAGTCCTGGTTTAGACCTGGCTTAGTCCTGGTTTAGTCCTGGTTTAATCCTGGTTTGGACCTGGTATTAGTCCTGGTTTTAGACCTGGTTTAGACCTGGTTTAGAACTGGTTTTAGAACTGGTTTTAGAACTGGTTTTAGACCTGGTTTAGTCCTGGTTTTAGACCTGGTTTAGTCCTGGTTTTAGACCTGGTTTAGTCCTGGATTTAGACCTGGTTTTAGACCTGGTTTAGACCTGGTTTAGAACTGGTTTAGAACTGGTTTAGAACTGGTTTAGAACTGGTTTAGAACTGGTTTAGTCCTGGTTTTAGACCTGGATTTAGACCTGGTTTAGTGTCCGGCAATGAGTGGAATTACCAAAAAAAAAAAAAAGGGCCCAAAATGTGAAAACACGAAAATACCACCATGTAATCCATTTATTTCAACAAAGTACCAGTAACTAACTCCCGTACATGTAATCTGTTACTCCCCAACACTGCCGTTAGCATGCTAGTTGTTCTTAGCATTACTGTGGTTGGCAACTTGAAATACTCAGAGAGATTTGGAGCGTCTCCCA